CGGCTCCCGCTTTTTGCTAATATCTCTTATGCTCGCGTGTTGCGCTCTTCCTCTCCTCGTCCTTCCCGCCTTCCTCAGACTCACAACCGTTTCCGGGCCTTGGACCCTGATGCGCCCACTGCCCCTCCTTTGTTCCTTTGGGTTCTCTCCCGAAGGATCCTCCTCCTGGTCCTCTGTCTGGGGTTCCCCTTCCTTCTACCCGGTCTGTCGTGTCTCCTGTGTCTTCTTCCTCGTCCCCCTCCGGTCCTCCTTCCCATCCTCTTCCTCCATCTATCGGCTCTCCCCACCGCCTGTCGGTACGGGCGGATGTCCATCGCTCTCCTAACGGCCGTCGTGTGTGCTCTCGTTCGGCTTCTGTTGAGACACTGGAATCCGTTGCCCGGTACATAGTTGCTGGGACACCGGTCTCTTTAATTCAGAAGCGAAAGCCTGGCTCCTCTCCTTCCTCTTCCCCGGCGGGTAAGAAGGCTTCGTTTTCTTCCTCGGCTCCTACTTCTGGCTCTGTTGCTCCTTCCCCTCCCGTTTCAGTGATTGCGCCCCCTGTTCCTGCTTTGGGGGTTTCTTTGGCCCCTGCTTCCCTTTCGGTTGCTGCTCTTGCTGAGGTGCGCTCCCCTCTTTCTACTCCCCCTCTTCCTGCTGCTGTCCTTGACTGCTCCTCTCCGTTGTCTCCTCCTCTTCCTCCTCCTCCGGACCCCGCCCGCCCACCTCTTATCTGTTCTCCCGTTTCCTTCCCTCCGTCTTTGCTCAGTTTACCCATGCCCCCTAACCCTGACTTTGCTGACCCTGATCCCGACCCTGATATTCTTCAACGTGCTCTGTTGCTCTTTCGCCTTTGTTTCTTCCTTGTTCTCTGTTTTTGTCCTTTCTCTTCTCGTCGTTGTCCATTCTTCAATGGAACATTCGAGGTTATTACGCCAATTTCCTCGAACTCCAACTTCTGATTTCGCAGTTTTCGCCCCTTTGTGTCAGTCTCCAGGAGCCAATGCTTGGTGCTCGTCCTGGTCGTTTTCGTGGCTATTCCTTTCTCTTCCCCCCCCCCCCCTCAGCCATTGCTGGGGCTTCTAATTCTTCTGCTCTTGATTCGTGCCGATGTTCCCTTTGTTCCTTTGCTTTTTCCTTCGCCTCTACACTGTTCTGCTGCTCGTATCTTTGTGGGGAAATGGTACACAATTTGTTCCATTTATCTCCCCCCGAGTGTCCCGCTCTCTTCCTGATTTGAAACGCCTCCTAGACTCCTTGCCGGAGCCTGTGCTCCTGCTGGGTGACTTCAATTGTCGTCATTCTCTTTGGGGCGACGTTCTGACGAATACCCGGGGTCGCCTCCTTGAGCCGCTTCTCCTCTCTTCTTCCCTGTCTCTTCTGAATTCTGGTGAGCCCACTCATTTGGACTCTCGGACTCGCACCCTTTCTTGTCTTGATCTCTCTCTCTGCTCTTCTCTTTACTTAGATTTCACGTGGCAGGTTCTTGATGACCTCCATGGAAGTGATCATTTCCCCATCCTTGTTTCCTTTTTCTCTTTTCGCCCTTCCCTCTCTTTCCCTAGGTGGCAGTTTGCTAAGGCAGACTGGACCCTATTTACCCTCAGTGCTGCTCTCTCTGACCTCTCCCTTATGCCTCTCTCTCGCGCTCTCCTCCTTTTTCATGACACTGTCTTCAACGCTGCCCTCCGCTCTATTCCTCGCTCTTCCTCTCGGGGTCCACGGAAGTGCGTTCCCTGGTGGAATGCGGACTGTGCTCGGGCTGTCCGCTGTAAGCGTGCAGCCTGGAAGAGGCACCGCCGGAGGCAGACGACCGATTCTTTTCTTTTCTTTCGGAAAGCAAGTGCGGTGGCCCGTAGGGCCATCCGTACGGCTAAACGTGAATGTTGGGCATCTTATGTCTCAACAATTACGTCCGAAACCCCTCTGGCCCAGATCTGGAAGCGTATCCGCAAGATAGCGGGTAAGTTCGTTCCCGATGTTTCACCGGTCCTTCACCTCCATGATACTCTTGTGGCGGACCCGTTGCAGGTCGCTTCCGAACTGGGTTCCCACTTTTCATCTGTTAGCTCTGGTCTTCATCTTCCCCAATCTTTCCTTCTTCGTAAACCTGTCCTTGAGTCTCGTCCTTTAGATTTCTGCACTCATCTTCAGCTTCCCTATAATGATCCCTTCTCTCTCTCTGAACTTCGTTCTGCCCTGGCCCTCTGCGGTTCTACGGCGGCGGGCTCCGATGGTATTCATGAGATGCTTCGCCATCTCCCTCCGAGCACGTCTCAGTATTTACTGAGTCTGTATAATCGGATCTGGGAGTCGTCGTCAGTCCCTGAGGACTGGCTCGATGCCGTTGTCCTCCCTGTTCGCAAACCGGGGTCTCTGGGTACTTCCCCTAAGGACTTTCGCCCTATTGCTCTCACAAGTTGTGTCTGCAAACTCTTTGAACGTATGGTTAACGTTCGTCTGATGTGGTTCCTGGAACACCATCACCTCCTCTCCCCTTCTCAATTTGGTTTCCGCAAGTGCCGCAGCACGACAGATGTCCTGGTGAACTTGGAGGTCTATATTCGTACTGCTTTTGCTGCGAAGACCTCCGTTGTTGCCGTCCTTTTTGACCTGGAAAAGGCTTACGACACCACTTGGCGTTATCATATCCTATCTCAACTTCATTCTTTTGGCCTTCGTGGTCATCTCCCTCTTTCTCCGCGGCTTCCTCTCTCGTCGTTCCTTTCGGGAGCGCCTTGGTACCGCTCTCTCTCCCTCTTTTCAGCAATACGAAGGTGTGCCCCAGGGTAGTGTTCTGAGCACTACTCTTTTTTCTGGTTGCCCTCAATGGTCTTCTTTCCTCTCTTCCTTCTGGTGTCTTCTCCGCTCTCTGTCGATGATCTTTCTCTTTGTTGTCAGGGTGATGATTCGCCTCTCCTTCAACGCCGGCTTCATATTGCAATTGATGCCGTGTCGTCTTGGGCCACTGATCATGGCTTAAAGTTCTCTACTTCTAAGACTTGTGCCATGACTTTTACGCGGAAACGGGTTGTTCTTCGTCCCTCTGTCACTTTATGGTCATCCCCTTGAATACAAAGATTCCGCAAAGCTTTTGGGGTTATTCCTTGACACTCGTTTGTCTTGGTCTCCCCATATCTCTTACCTCCGTGTTGAGTGCTCTAAGGCCCTTACCCTCCTTCGGGTCTTGTCCCATACTTCTTTGGGGGCAGATAGGCGCACTCTCCTTGCTTTACATTCCTCTCTCGTCCTGTCTAAGCTCGATTATGGTTGCCCTGCTTACTAGTCTGCTTCTCCTTCTACTCTTCGCCTCGTGATGCTTTGCACCATACTGGGTTGCGCCTCAGTTCTGGTGCCTTTCGTTCGACTCCCGTCCTGAGCTTGAATGTTGACACTGGCTTCCTGTCTCTCCAGGACCGCCGTGATCGCTACTGTCTTCGCTATCTTGCGCGGTCCTTGCAACATCCTTCCTCTCGCCTCTGTCGTGCTTTAACTTTTACCCCTCCTGCGGTTCCTCTTCACCACCTCCCTCTTTCTGTCCGGTTATCTCGCCTGCAGGATTCTCTTTCCGTTCGTATTTCTGATGTTTCTCCTCGTGTTCCTTCTTTGCCCCCGTGGAGGGTCCCTCTTCCGCGGTTTTGTACATCCTTGACCCGTATCACTAAAGCTCTTACCCCTCCTACGGTTCTAAAATGCCTTTTCCTAGAACACTTTTCTCACTCCCGCTCCGTTTCTGTCTTCACCGATGGGTCTAAGTCAGCGGACGGTGTTGGCTACTCTGTTGTTTTTCCTGATCGCACTTATGTGTCGCTTGCCTCCGGAGACTAGCATCTTTACAGCGGAACTTTATGCTATTCTCTATGCTCTTCGTCTCCTACTTTCTCGTTGTCAGTCTTCCTTTGTAGTTGTTGTTGACTCTCGTAGTGCCCTCATGGCTCTCGGGTCCTTTAATCCGGTTCATCCAGTGGTTGTCGAGATCCAGCATTGGCTGTTTCTCGTTCACAGTAAATTTAAGTCGGTTGAGTTTTGTTGGGTTCCCAGCCATATTGGTGTCTTTAAATGAGCGTGCGGATGCTGCCGCCAAGGAAGCTGTCCGCTCTTGTCCCATCTCTCGTAAGGGCATTCCGTATTCCGACTTTTACCCGGTTATCCATTCCTCAGTCCTTACCCGTTGGCAGGCTTCTTGGTTGTCTGTTACTGGTAACAAGCTACGTACTCTTAAATGTTGTTTCCTCGTGGCAGTCCTCCTTCCACCGTAACCGGCGGTGGGAAACAGCTCTGGCGAGGTTGCGTATTGGCCATACTCGCTTAACCCATGGTCACTTGATGGAGCACCGCCCTGCTCCTTATTGTCCTAGATGCATTGTCCCTCTTACGGTCGTGCATGTCCTTCTTGAATGTCCTGACTTCCAGGACGAGCGTGTCTTGCTTTCCGACCGCCCCTCGCGGTCACCTGTCCCTCGATAGAATTCTTGGTGACTCGGATACTTTTGATATCGTTCGCCTTATGCGTTTTTGTTCTCGTATTGGCATCCTTGGTGATATTTAGCGCCCTCTGATTATTTTGCGTATATGATGGTGCTACATAGCCTTCCCGGTTTGGTGCCTTCTTTTGATAATTACTTACTTAAGGCAGCGTCTGGTATGCTCTCGGACGCAAGTTAGAATCCTAGTCACGGCCCTTGTGGATTTGTTCATCTAATGCATCACGTTGTGATTTGTGATCCCTAGATAGTTTCAAGCGTAGGTAAATTGTTCAGTATAAGTGGGTGGATATAAAGAGCTGCATTGTATGGGCCAACAGCCCTTCTGAAGTTACCTTCATTCTTATGTTCTAACCTGCTTAGGCCTAGTTTTAATCGGAAGCTAATGTCTATTAACTAAATTTAATTAAAATATTTCAAAAGTGAAAGCCAAAGTTGATAACAATGTATACTGTTGACTGAAGTTAAATAGGTGTTGCATCATCATACCAAAGCTTTAATCTTGGTAATCTAGTTTACAGCACTCCTTACTTATAGAACGACAGCTGAAACGGCTGAAACATCGGGAAGAAACGGAGGAGACCAATATTAACAAGACCTCGTCGTGGATAGTCGTTAAGGACAGGGGTTTTGAAGACCTTGACAAGGCTGCCTACAGACGCCCTAAGGACAGCAAATTCATTTGCCGTGTTTGACAAGTGCTGTGGTGAGCCTGCAGTTCACTCGAAACGGAAATCGGCGAGGAGCGGCGAAGCGCAGACCCCTCAGGCTGCTCAGAAAGTTAAGGAGGTACCAACGCGAATTTTGGTTGTGGGAGATTCCCAGGTGAGGTATTTACAGAACGTTTTGTGCCAGAGATAGGGGGAACAGATTAAGGGTTTGCTATCCGGGAGCTGGAATTGGTGATTTTGTTGGAAACGTGAATGATATTATGACGGGAAATGGGAACAAACCCATTATTTGTATTAGTGCAGGGGGTAATGATGTTGGACGAGTTAGGAGTGAGGGACTAATAGATTCAGGACAACCATTGAATTAGTTAGGAGCAAGGGAGGAATCCTGGTATGTCCCTTTCTTCAAAGAAAGGGAGTGGGTAATGAATGGATGTTGAGGCCACTTGGTGTCACTTGCCGGCTGGAAAGATATTGCAAATCAAATTAAATATCTTTCATAGACAACTGGAAACACTTCTATGGAAGAAATGAAATGTATGCTCGTGATGGGGTGCATCTATCGAGGGCTGGGGTTGTTGCTGTTGCAAATCGTTGGAACCAGTGGTTAGGTGTTTGTTTGGGTTTAAACTGTTAGTAGTGTTATGGGAATTGATTTGGAGAAAGGAGGCAATAAAAGCACGTGTTCGTGGGAGAAAAGAATTGGCAAAATGATCAGGGAAAGAAAAGGGCCTCAATAACAATTCACTTGGGGTATATTGCACTAACAGAAGTCTAAGAAATGAAATTAACGAATTAAATGCTCTTGTCTGCACAGAAAAAAATTATGGGTATGCCGAAACATAGATGAATGTAGAAAATAGAAGACTATTAGCTTAACATAAAATAAATGGATTTAAACTATATCAGATATATTAGACGAGGGGGAGTAGCCATGTATGTTGGGGACAATTTGAAATGTAGTCTCAAAGAGGGAATAAAATCTGAGCCACCCGCAAACTATTTGGATAAAATTAAAAGAAAGCAAATATTATAATAGGAGTTATATATAGGCCACCAAATTAAGGCAGAATGGAAGCAAAGCATCTATGGGATGAAATATCTAGAGCATCTAGATCTAATATTTGTCATGGGTGACTTTAACTTTAGTGGAATAAACTGGTTGAACAAAACGGAATAGTGAAGCAGAAGATTTTCTAGAATTAATTGAAGATTGTTTTCTTACGCAACACATTGAGGAACCAACGCGGGAAAATATTTTAGATTTAGTGTTAACTAACAGGGAAACGCAAATTAATGACATCGAAATAGGGAGTGAGCTAGGGAACAGTGATCAGAGAAGTCAGATTTAGCATGGAATGGAATAGACCTGTAGGAGAAAATTCTGTTAGTGCTAGATTTTCGAAAAGCTGATTTTAATAGCCTAAGAAATTTTTTGGGTCAAATAGATTGGGAAGTCTTGGGTATGGGGTGTGGGCCGGTCTTGGAGACATATGAACCCAGCAATAGGTGACGTAAAAGGGGATTTCGATGTGGATATAATATATAACTTGTTTAAGAATATTCTAAACAAAGCACAGGAATGTAGTATACCATACAAATTGAATAGATCAAATACTAATGACCCAAAGTGGATAACAAAGAATTTAAAGAACCTTATAGGTAAAGAGAGCTTGGTACAAAAGGATTAAGCATGGGGAAGTCGGTTTAGAACAGGAATTCATAAAACTGGTTAGAAATGTTAGTTTCTTTTTACTTTCCTAATCTCTCTGAAGTTCGCATAGCAGAGCAAGTAAATTAAAATCCTAAAGGGTTTTTTCAGTTATATCGAACTAAGACTAGGGAAAGGATAGGTCCATTAAAAACTGGCAAGTCAAATAAAGGACAATGACAGATTAGTATTTTTAACAAATATTTTATCTTTACTAAAGATTACTAAATTACCTTCTGGTGCACATTTGAAAACTGATCCACTTTGTGTTTAAAGGTTTTGAGTGATTTTCATTTCTTTGGTCCTGCATAAATTTACTCAAAATATTCCTAAAATTTGCCATTTTTGTTAGTCTTTAATTAAATTGTATTTGCAGGTGGTAAATTGTTTAGGCTGCTACAGCTCTCTAGCCAAAGTTGTTGACTGGCTAGTCTTTTACTGCCTCCCAACATGTTAGTGAGGTCTTGAGCTGATGTACCCTATGGCGAAGAGTGAGGGACTAGTTTCCTGAAGTAATGTATAGCATGAGATGGCACCCATTCTAAACAGCAGCCGGCACCAACTCTGGCCGACATTGGAGTGGACAAGACCCAGATCCTGTGGGGAGGAAAAGTCTACACTAAACTGTAAAAGGTACAGATAATCTGACCCCCCCCTTTGGCAGTTTTTCGGGTACCCCCCTCTTTTCCTTATTTTGTAAAGCTTTATCTTAAACGGCAGCATAGCTTGGCACTCGTGGCTTTAGTGGGACTGTTCCATTGGATTGTAACTGTGGGTGGGGGGAAAAGCATCTCTAGTTTTGTTCTGCATTGTAGTCTCTCTTTAAACCATTTTAATGTTGTACTCAACTTATTGTTCTTGACAGTTTTGCAAACTTATAGATTTTCAGTGAAGAAATTGGTACCATCCTGTGTGACTTGCAATGTACCGTTTTTATTAATGGCGGTTTCATAAAGAATGACTTATTTGCTGGTATAAAATATCCTCCAAAGCAGATAAAATCGGTAAAGTGTTCATGCCTTGGCATGATTTATTGGGCGAATGAGTGTTGTATAACTGCTTTCTAAAGTGTAGACTTTTATTTTCAGGGTGTCAGTTTTTCTCACTGAAGCTACCACTCGTGCAATTTTGATTGGTGATTGTGACTTAGTCCTCCTCGTGATCTACGGCAAGGTAATATTTTTAGCATTTATATTATGCTGCACATGTTAAGCTTTAGTTTTAAATTAGCTTGTCTTCAAATTACACGTGTTGATGACCATTTTTGTATGGGCTTCATACCCTTCACTTGAACATGAATTAACATCCTCAAGTCAGCCCAAAAAAATAGAATATATGGTTCTGCGATGTTTAGTAATTTAAGACCTTTTCACTATTTTTAAACTATTGGGTTTTATCCATTGTAAGTTATTAAATGTGCTTTAACTTACCAGTAGTGTGGTAGGTTTGGAAAGCTTTAAAAAATCCATGTATCTAGTTGCTGGAGCTCCTATATTAGGAGCTTAATTTGCAAAGTAAATTTGCATGATAGCCTTGTTTATATAATTTTTGGGGAACCAACACTTTAAATATTTATTGGAAATGGTGACTGAATCCTACTTTAGATACCAAAAAATAACCAGAGCAAAGTGTACTTACAAAAGTAGGGAATTGTTCCATTAAATTTAGATAAAAATAATCAGTTTGGTAGTTCCAGGGAGATTTGTGTAGTCAGTCTACTATTGTGAAATGTAGTTTTATTAATTATGCCAATGCTACTTTTTATATTGAGTCTTTGCACCTGTTTCCTAAGATTGACAGCATGAGGTGAATCTTCCAGCTTCGGTCTTGAAGTTGTAAATAATTATGTAATATAACTTATTTAAAAGAAAATGAAATTAGTGTAGCATAGGCTTCTATCTCCCTTGGGAGAGTTGTCAAACCCATAGATATTTCCTTGTCAAAATACTTTAAAGGTTGAAAGTTGTGCCTATTGTAATTTAGCATTAACGTATTGTCTTAAAGGGCATGACAATGATTAGGTTTATAATCTAGTATCTTGGCATAGACAACAAAATTGATTCTACTAAAATACTAAATTGTATAATTATCAATTAACATTGAAGCACAATGAATGTGGTACTGCAGTTTAATAATTATGGTTCACAATTTTGTTAAAAATTTGAGTGAATATTTCCAGAAAGTTGATTGTGGCCATACCCGTTGGAGTAGTAAAGACAAACGTTCAAATTGCTCTTCTTGATGTAACCCCCAAGCTGTAGGCTGCTGTTATTTTAAGAGGTAATCTTATTTTACTTGTGGAAAACTGGCCACTTTAATGATTAATCTCTACTCGATATGCAGGCTCAATAGTCTCTGTAGTAAATATACTCAATTGTCAATGAAGTACACAAGTCTTAGGTGATCCATTGGCTGAGGAAAATCAAAGTTCATTGAAATAAATTTATTGAGGTAAAATCCAACATGGGATGAGGAAGCTAAGGCAGTTCATAACTTGTTCTTATTGGTAGTCCAGTAATTTTTTAGCTAGTATGTTGCATAATAGAAATTAAATGGTTGTTAAAATGTTCATTGCACACACCATAATGGCCGTCAGATGTTAAATGTCAGATTAAGGGGTGAGATTAGTGGTAAATGTGACATTGATCAGTGCATTGTTACTAGATTCTTGAAACTTTCCCTTGCATGGTCAAATTTATTATGTAATTATTTTAATTTGTATCTATTGGTTTGGTGTGCAAATGTTATTGTAAGTTTCATAAACTTTCTAATGCGACTTGTTATACTGAGAGCACTTTATGAATATTAAAGTACCTAAGTTCATAATTTGTTAGCTTAATAGTAACAATGTATACTAAAATGTATTAATATTTTCTCGACAGGTGGAGACGCATTATCTGAAATGGCTGTTGCAATGTATTGAAATTAAATTTTATTAAAAACTCTGGGTTAGTTGAAGTCGCTTATTGTAAATAGTGATGAATTGTGGTATTTTAGTTTTCTCTAATTTTATTGAAACGAGCTTTTTCAGTGTTTTGGAATGTTTAATAAGGTTCTTGGCACCATCTGTATCTCTACTACAAATTTACTTGATTATAAATATATTGGTGTTCTGGGCAGTTTACCTTGTTTGAGCAACAAGGTGATGCAAGGCAGTTTTTTTCCCAACTTGGCTGTAGTTGTTAAAGCCAAACGTAACTTAGAAACGTTGGTTGCAAGTTTGTAGTGTGGTGCATGGGATTGAATAATCACCGCTCCACATTGATAAGATAGATTCCTGTTGCATTGAAGTCGGCAAGTTGAATAAATGTTTTGGAAAATATTAGTTAAATATTGTACAACATTGTGTTAATTAGAATAATGATCATAACTTGGTGAAAGGGTGGTTATTATATTGGTTTTCAATTTTATTACTTTATTATAGCAAATGTTTGTATATGAAGGTAGTTAAAATCTAACTTATATATTACCTGTTGGTAATATAGTCGCCAATATCAAACTTAAAGTATACAAGGCATTATAGTAAGTCTTTACCAAAGTTCATGTATATTAGGATACTTAATGTAGTTGTACATAAGTTTAAAGTTGAAAAATAACGTTAATAGAACACAATTATATAGATTATCATTGCCCATACTATAGATATTAGTGATAAGTTTTCTACTAAATGAGGTCCATCTCCTTTTCTGGCTGTCGTTGTCGTGACGTAACACGACAACGACGGGGGGGGGGGGGGGGTGTGAACGCACAACTGTCAGATTAGTTTCACTTCACATCTGCAAGGTGACAATCTTTCATAATTTCACATTCAATGATCTTGTAATATCGACACATTGGTTTTTAAAAACAAACCTCACTTTTGATGGTATCACCTTTTGATAGTAAGACCCTTCAGCCACGTATCATTCTTGGTGGTGCCAGGTGCCCTGTTCAAGAGTACATCCCCCCTCACTCATTGTAATAAGTGAGGCAAGTTCGAGCACGGTGCCCTCAAATGCACAAGTCTTTTCTCTCTGCCCCATGTGTGGGGACGATAGCCACTCTAAGACAGATTGCTCATCCCCCGGGCTCGCTACCTAAATTGAGGAGAGGCCCACCCTACATTCTCTCGCACGTGTATCGACTCAAAGCTTGAAGTAGTCCTTAACTTGAAACACCAGGATCATTTGACTTTTCCCGAGGCAAGATCCTGGGTTCGATCCCAGGCGCCGGCGAGAAACATTGGGCAGAGTTTCTTTCACCCTATGCCCCTGTTACCTAGCAGTAAAATAGGTACCTGGGTGTTAGTCAGCTGTCACGGGCTGCTTCCTGGGGGTGGAGGCCTGGTCGAGGACCGGGCCGCGGGGACAATAAAAAGCCCCGAAATCATCTCAAGATAACCTCAAGAGAAGACACGGTTTGCAGTGTCCACCCCTTCACTGGCGTATCTTATGCTCGCACGTTGTTCTACCTCTCGTCCTTCCCACCTTTGTCCAACAACCGTTTCTAGGCCTTGGACCCGAACATGCCCACCACCTTCCCTGTTCCTTTACGTCCTGGGTCGGAAGGTGTATCTCGTGAATCTCCTTCTGGATTCCCCCCCCCCCCTTTCCTTTTCCTACCCTGTCTGCCAAGTCATTTCGTTTTCCCCTATCCTTCCTGTCCCTCCCCACTACCTCTTGGCCCTCCACGTCGCCTGTCTGTCCAGGCTGTCAATCATCCTCCCAGCAATCTTGATGTTGTTCACTCCCATTCTTCACTTAAGACCCTAGTCAGTCGGCCAGTACGATGTTACTGGAACACCTGTCCGTCAGAAACGTAAGCCTGGCTCCTCTCCATCCTCCTCCCCCTGCGGGTATGAAAAGAGACGGCATTCCTTTCTTCCTCGCCCCCTAACTATTGCTTACTCCCCATTTTATTGGTTGGGGCCCCCTGTCCCTAATGTGGTAGTTTCTTTTGGTACAATTCCCTCTTGGTTGCTGACCTAGTTTCTACACCCTATCCTCCTGGCCTTGACAGCCCCCCCCCTCCCTGAACCCTGTCAATCTGCCTCTGGTGTCCTGCTCTTTTTTCCCTACATTCTTACTAAGTTAACCCATGGCCCGCTAAACCTTATTCTGATCTTTAGCTTTTTTAACATGCTGTGTTATTTACTTGTTTCTTTGTTCTGTTGCTTTCCTTTTATTTTTTTGATATTGTCAATTCTTCAATGGAATATTCATGGGTTTTATGCTAACTCCCATGAACTCCAACTTCTGTTTAGGTTTCACCACTTTGTCTCTGGGAGCCGATGCTTGGTCCTCGTCGTGATAACTGTCGTGGATATTCCTTTCTTCCCCTTCCCCCCCCCCCCTTGATCTTGCTGGGGCCCATAACTATATTGGTCTCTTGATTCGTACTGATAATCCCTTTGTCCTACTGTTTCCATGTCCTATCCATTATTTTGCTGGCCATGTTTTTGAGTAAAATGTAGTCTGTTAAATTTTTCCCCCAAATGTCCCTCTTTCCCTTCCTGATATCAGGAACCTCCTGGACTCCTTAACAGAGCTGGTGTTCCTGTTGGGTTATTTAAACTGTCGACATACCCTTTGGGGTGATGTTGACACACCCGAGGCGGCCTTCTCGAACCATTCGTTCTCTTCCCTGAATTCTGGTGAGCCCATCCCATGTGGACTGTGACTGTCACTTTCCTGTCTTGATCTTTCTCTGATCGTCTCTGTACTTGGATATCTCGTGGAGGGTTCATAACCTTCATAAGTGACCATTTCACCATCCTTGTTTTCCCTTGTCTTTTCACCCTCCCCTCTCCTTCCCTAGGTGGCAGTTTGCCAAAGCTGATTAGAACCTATTCACCCTCCGTGATACTGTGACCTCTCCTTACTACCTCTTCCTTGCACCCTCCTCGTTTTCATTAGTCTTCGATGCTACCCTCTATTCCTTGCTCTACGTCCCAGGGCACACGGAAGTGCGTTCCCTGTACTGCGGATTGCTATGGTTGTCGGCTGTAAGCGTGCAGCCTGGAAAAGACTGACGCTGGCAGATGGCTGATTCTTATATTTTGTTTCAGAAAGTGCAGTGGCCTGTTGGACCACCTGGACAGCGAGGCGCGAGAGTTGGAAGTGTTTCCACCATTACGTCAGACACTCCTCTGCCCCAGATTTGGAGGATTTGCAATATTGTAGGTAAGGTCATTCCCTATGACTAGCAGGTTCTTCACCTCTGTAATACTCTGGTGGTGAAGCCAGTGCAGGTCACAACCGAACTGGGTTCTCGCTTGTTAGCTGTGGTTCTAATGTTCAATTTTTCCTTAAACACGTTTTTGAATCTCGTGCCTTAAACTTCCACACTCGGTGGTACTACATAGCCTTCCCAGTTTGGTGGGTTTTATAAATTTTTACTAAATGAGGTTTAAGTTCTTTAAGTGGCAACAAATGGCAAATACATTTAGATCTGTGTACAGTTTGCTTATCTATTTAAAATTAAATCCCATTTGATCCGCAAGCAAGAGTGATTTGGCATGAATCCTGGGCGAGTAACTGTATCATGTGTTTAACGGTGTAAAATTGGTACCTAGTTAAATTGTTAGTGTTCTGGGGTAACATGGAATAAAGTTATTGGCCTAAATGGTACGCATGCTTGTGGCTGTACAAGAATGAAAGATCTGTCGTATTTTTTTTTTGACATAAATAGCAACAACTCTTGAGTTTGCTTGGCATGTTTCAAATGTTACCAAAGATATATGGGGGAGGGGAATCGTAAACTATAAATTTGAAATACAAATTTTGTAGCATATAAACCTTAAATGTAGACTTCAAAGAGCTTTATCTTCTAATTTATAAATTAGATATGGTGGGGGGGGGGAGTAGATAATTTGTTAGTGTAACTTTAAAATGACACATTTCAAAGTTAAAAAAGATGAAATTGCTATGCAAAACCTTATTAACCATATTTAATGTTCCATTGACAGGTTGTAGAAGGTCCTTCCAACATACCTTCAGGAACAGTTGCAGAACAATGGCTGGAAGTTAAATGCTACAGAAAGTAGCATAGTTGTCATAATTAGAGGGCCAAAGTAAGTTTATTTAGTTTAATAGGTAAAATGTGTTTACATAATTTTTACCTAAATATTTCATTAAATTGTGAAGGGGCCTTGAAATGGGGTAAATTGAAACTAGTTTAAGGCCTTGACTAGTGGGTACTATATCCTAAAGTTAATTCTTGCAAGAATTGTGCTTTGAATAGAATAAATGGGACTTTAAATTTGTGCACTAACTGTTAAACGGCATAAATTTCAATTTAAAGATTTTAAGAAATGTTTTATTTAAATCTTAATTTGTTTGCATGGTTCTTAATTATTTGGCTAGAAGTCATTCATTTATAAATGACACAAATCACAATGTGATATTTCTAATGCACAAGGGCTGTGATGAGGGGTTCAAACTTATGTCGGAGGATCCCAGATGTGCTTTAAGACTGTGCCACAACATGGTAAAAGAATCCCAACTGGGAGGTCTACTGACATGGGTTTAATCTACGTTTGTAGCTTAAAAGGCTATGTTCATAAATTAAAGAACCATTTAATGATGGTACAGTACACAAATTAAATATTGAATGTTAACTGTACTTCAACTTTATCTATTTAAGCTTCAAATAAATAAACTGTCTTTCAGAATATTGATGGGAAAGTCTAACTTCAGCCCTGAGTTTGAAGGTGTTAATTGCTTGACATTCTGAAATAGGAGAGTGTGGTAGTAAACATTATAACTTAAACAATCACTCATTATGGCTGAAGATAATCTGAAATGATGCTTACATGTAGATAAAATAAATTGCCGACTTTAATGTACTTATGGTTAGTCAAACTAAGTTAAATGTTTTTGTTTGATTAGCATTAAAGGAGAATTCTAACAATCTTAATTGTAAGATTAAAAGAACCTGCATATGTAAAATCTTGTTTAACAAGCTAATTTGGGTAAATGTTTCAGGTGGTATGGAAGATTACAATGTCATCAAAGCATTGACTGGCTTCAGTGTGGTTGTTCTACTCTGCAAATCTACGAAAGTTGGTATGTGGAATAAAGTGTTTTAGCTATGTCAACTAATTAATTTACTTTCTTTCATCTAGTCCATTTATAGATGTGTACCAAAGTCCAACTGTTACAACCTGCAGGGATTGATGCAGTTTGTACTGATCCTACCCCATTTCATAGAAGGGGACCAGGCAGTCCTGCAGATTTCCCTGGCTTGGCTTTTTCAGAGCCCTGCTCTACTACCCATCCAATAGATGGACTAGAATTGCATAGGTGTAGGGACCTTTAACAATGTGCAAACATTGTTAATCACTACAGGGCTTGTTCACTGAAAGAGTGGATACATCCAGAGGTTTAGTGCCTGGAACATGATGTACATAGGCTTTACACAAAGCTTATTTACATCATGTTGGGCACTAAACCAAAAGATGTGATGCACTCTTTCAGCCAACAAGTCCTGCCTCAAATGGAAATAAGGGGTAGGCCTTGCTGAGCCTATCTTAAAAGATAGGCAGTTAGGGGTTTTGGTGCTTCTAGATAGGTGTTAGTGTTAATAAAATGAGTGTCCCTGTTTGATATACTTTATTTTTGCTTTACAGGTGGATGTTGTCCTTGGTACTCTGGTGTTTTCACTGGCCTTTTGATGATCTTTGAGTCTTCAGTGGATTGAATCTAGGAGGAGCAGCTTCCCACAACCTGAAAGACAATAGTCAATATTAATGTTACACTGTAAACTATGAAATAAATATTCCAATGAAACTTTATACTGTACTTTATCCTGAAATTAGCAAAGATTCCATCATGCTGAAAATTACTGATGCAAAGAACTTGTGAAATTTATAAATAATTTCTAAAGTGAAAAATTAATTGACATCACTAACTTCAGAGTTTTCTGCATGTAATATGCCAAACTGGATTAAGCTGATAAATCTAAACTAACATTACTAATTTGCAAAGTATCTTAATTTTACACTTTACTAAAATTAAACTTAACAATTGTATGGACTACATTTAAGGCTAAGCAACATCCACTAATCTTTCAATGTTTAGAAGTGTTGTAAAAAAAAAAAATACGTTGACTTAAATGTCAATCTAAAACATCTATACAATATGGTTTTTCACCAATACCTTACTAAATGCCAGACCTGGAACACTGTGGTTCCAGTAATCAGAAGTTAATTATAATGGGCTAGATATTAAAACTTGATAGGAAAGTATGAAACTACCTATTGTCAATAGTAAAATCCAACTCTGAAAGTTCTAGTATAAGAAAAACAATATTAGACATGACCAGTCTGCCTTATTATTTCCTGGACTTTGATATGTCCTACCAAAGATTTTGAATGAAAATTTCATTATTCACACCAGACATCCCATAACCACAAATGTTTCAAGCTGATGAATAGAAGTAATTAAGGATAGTATTGTATAATACACTACCTGTAAAAAGTACCATAAAGTGGAAGAGCCTTACAAACTAAAATTTATAATTACCACATGCCTAGAATTTAATCCAAACTTAAATGAACTCTCAGCCAAAATTACTAAAGTTAAAAGATGTTCATAAGTTTATCTAGATTTCAAATGTCACTCAGATCTTCGAAATAACCAAGCACAAAACTGTCAGATTAGTTTCACCTCGCATCTGCGAGGTGACAATCATTCAATGATCTTGTAATAACACATTGGTTTGTTAAAAACAAACCTGGTCACTTTTTTGTGGAAATGGTAACCAGCTATTCAAACAAGACTTCTGGTACACATGTCACTTGCTTGCTAAAGCACCATATGAAAGAATAGGAGGGGAAAAACAGGCACAGAATCAATGGTAGAAACTCAATGGTAACAGTCAAATTAAAGCGTCCTAAACAGAAATGACTGGAAAATTTTGCGAGATTCATACCACAAGGGTCTAAACCTTATAAATCGATGACATCAAACACCAAGATTCATAGAGTAAAAAAAAAAACAATGATATCGAGGCCTTACAAAGATCTACATGAACTCTAAAAATGGTTACAAGACTGACAAATTCTTCTTAATATACAAATAACATTGTTCTGGCTCACATGCAAGGTTTTACAATCCATATCACAACTACCACATTAACATTACAACGAAATAGAACGATGAAATAAGGACCTTCGAGTATGAATCCATCATTCACCAAAAGTTGATGCAGTGAAAGGTAAGGTAATTATCAAAAGAAGGCACCAAACCGATTAGGCTACATAGCACCCTCAAACTGCGAAATAATCAGAGGGCGCAAAATATCATCAAGAATGCCAATACGAGAACAGAACGCATAAGGCGAACGATATCAAAAGTATCCGATTCACCAACAATTCTATCCAGGGGCAAGTGACCGCGAGGGGCAGTCGGAAAGCAAGACACACGCACATCCTGGAAGTCAGGACATTCAACAAGGATATGCACAACTGTAAGAGGGACAACGCAATTTGGACAATAAGGAGCAGGGTGGCGCTCCATTAAGTGACCATGAGTTCAGCGAGTATGGCCAATCAGCAACTTGCTAGAGCAGTTTCCCACCGACGGTTACGGTGGCAGGAGGAAGGACACACTACGTTTGAGAGTACGCAACTTGTTACCAACTACAGACGACCAACAACCCTGCCAATAGGAAAGGATGGAGGAATGAATAACAGGATAAAAGTCGGAGTAAGGAATACCTTTATGGGAGATGGGACAAGAACGGATAGCTTCCTTAGAGGCAGCATCCACATGCTCATTTAAAGAAACACCATTATGGCTGGGAACCAAGCAAAACTCTACCGATTTAAATGTACTAGAAATAAGAAACAGCCAATGTTGAATATCCATGACCACCGGATGCACAGGATTAAAGGACCCTACAGCCATGAGAGCACTACGAGAGTCAACTGCAATCACAAAGGAGGATTGACAATGAGAAAGCAAGAGACGGAGAGCATAGAGAACAGCATAAAGTTCTGCTGTGAAGACGCTAGCCTCCGAAAGGAGGCGACACATATAAGTGCGGTCAGGAAAAAAACAGTAGCCCACACCGTCCGCAGACTTAGACCCCTCGGTGAAGATGGAAACAGAGTGGGAGTGCGAAGAAAAGTGCTCAAGGAAAAGGCGTTTCAGAACCCTAGGAGGGGTAAAAGCGTTAGTGATGCGGGTCAAGGACGTACAAAACTTTGGAAGGGGTACTCTCCACGGAGGCAAGGAACAATACGTGGAGAAACATTAGAAATACGAACAGAAAGCGAGATAACCGGACAGAAAGAGGGAGGCGATGAAGATGAACAGGAACCACAGGAGGAGTCAAAGTTAAAGCATGACAGAGGTGAGAGGAAGGATGTTGTAAGGACCACGCAACATAGCGAAGATAGTAGCGATCACGGCGGTCCTGGAGAGAGAGAAAGCCAGTGTCAACATACAAACTGAGGGCGGGAGTCGAACGAAAGGCACCAGAGCTGTGTGGGGAAACTCCAGGCAGCTAATCTCTTTATTTAAATTGACTTTAATATGATAAAGTTATGTCTTATTTATTTTTCTAAGTAAGAATTAATTGAGTGGACTGTATATACTTGTAAACTGCCTGAAATCTTCTTACACACCAATGGGAGGGACAATTGGTAGCCTAAACCACTTTGTTATGGCTCCTTCTTAAACTACCAATTGTTTACCTTTTATTATTATAATATACCACATGTTGGATATAACAATTCGTAATTTCAAACTGCGAATACGTGCAGAGAGCCAGAATTTGGCTTAAAAATTTGGTTCAGACCTCGAAATTGGGATATTTGGGATATTTTGAACACTGCAGGGGAGTTTGGGGAAAATGTGACTCACTGCCACGTCCAGTACTTGGCATATGTTGGGTATAAAAAGTAAGTAATTATCAAAAGAAGGCACCAAACCGGGAAGGCTATGTAGCACCATCATATACGCAAAATAATCAGAGGGCGCTAAATATCACCAAGGATGCCAATACGAGAACAAAAACGCATAAGGCGAACGATATCAAAAGTATCCGAGTCACCAAGAATTCTATCGAGGGACAGGTGACCGCGAGGGGCGGTCGGAAAGCAAGACACACGCTCGTCCTGGAAGTCAGGACATTCAAGAAGGACATGCACGACCGTAAGAGGGACAATGCAACTAGGACAATAAGGAGCAGGGCGGCGCTCCATCAGTGACCATGGGTTAAGCGAGTATGGCCAATATGCAACCTCGCCAGAGCTGTTTCCCACCGCCGTTTACGGTGGAAGGAGGACGGCCACGAGGAAACACAACATTTAAGAGTACGTAGCTTGTTACCAGTAACAGACAACCAAGAAGCCTGCCAACGGGTAAGGACTGAGGAATGGATAACCGGGTAAAAGTCGGAATACGGAATGCCTTTACGAGAGATGGGACAAGAGCGGACAGCTTCCTTAGCGGCAGCATCCGCACGCTCATTTAAAGACACGCCAATATGGCTGGGAACCCAACAAAACTCAACCGACTTAAATTTACTGTGAACGAGAAACGGCCAATGCTGGATCTCGACAACTACTGGATGAACCAGATTAAAGGACCCGAGAGCCATGAAGGCACTACGAGAGTCAACAACAACCACAAAGGAAGACTGACAACTAGAAAGCAGGAGACGAAGAGCATAGAGAATAGCATAAAGTTCCGCTGTAAAGATGCTAGTCTCCGGAGGCAAGCGACACATATAAGTGCGATCAGGAAAAACAACAGAGTAGCCAACACCGTCCGCTGACTTAGACCCATCGGTGAAGACAGAAACGGAGTGGGAGTGAGAAGAAAAGTGCTCGAGGAAAAGGCGTTTTAGAACCGTAGGAGGGGTAAAAGCTTTAGTGATACGGGTTAAGGAAGTACAAAACCGCGGAAGAGGGACACTCCACGGGGGCAAAGAAGGAACAACACGAGGAGAAACATCAGAAATACGAACGGAGAGAGAATCCTGTAGGCGAGATAACCGGACAGCAAGAGGGAGGTGGTGAAGAGGAACAGGAACCGCAGGAGGGGTAAAAGTTAAAGCACGACAGAGGCGAGAGGAAGGATGTTGCAAGGACCGCGCAAGATAGCGAAGACAGTAGCGATCACGGCGGTCCTGGAGAGACAGGAAGCCAGGGTCAACATACAAGCTAAGGATGGGAGTCGAACGAAAGGCACCAGAACTGAGGCGCAACCCAGTATGGTGCAAAGCATCAAGACGGCGAAGAGTAGGAGAAGCAGACGAGTAAGCAGGGCAACCATAATCGAGCTTAGACAGGACGAAAGAGGAATGTAAAGCAAGGAGAGTGCGCCTATCTGCCCCCCAAGAAGTATGGGACAAGACCCGAAGGAGGGTAAGTGCCTTAGAGCACTCAACACGGAGGTAAGAGATATGGGGAGACCAAGACAAACGAGTGTCAAGGAATAACCCCAAAAGCTTCGCGGAATCTTTGTAGTCAAGGGGATGACCATAAAGTGACAAAGAGGGACGAAGAACAACCCGTTTCCGCGTAAAAGTCATGGCACAAGTCTTAGAAGTAGAGAACTTGAAGCCATGACCTGTGGCCCAAGACGACACGGCATCAATTGCACGTTGAAGCCGGCGTTGAAGGAGAGGCGAATCATCACCCTGACAACAAAGGGTAAGATCATCGACATAGAGAGCGGAGAAGACACCAGAAGGAAGAGAGGAAAGAAGACCATTGAGGGCAACCAGAAAAAGAGTAGTGCTCAGAACACTACCCTGGGGTACAC